AAAAAATCACTCTGGCTGCTGTGGGAGAATATATGGAGAGAAGACCACAATAAGAACAGCGAGAAAGCACTGGGAGGAAACTACTGGAATAGTGTAGGCAAGAGATGACAGTGGCTTGGCCAAAGGCAGTGGCAATAGAGAGAGAAGGGAGTGGAAGATTCAGGGTACATTTTGAAGGCAGAGCTCATCAAGTTTACCATTTCTTCTTCTTATTTTAATTGTGGTAAAATATACATAATATAAAATGGTACTTCTAGTTTTCATTTTTGAGGACTTCCATACTGTTTTCCACAGTGGCTACACCACATTACATTCCCACCAACAGTGCAGAAGCGTTCCAATTTCTCCACATCCTCACCAACACTGGTTAGTTTCTGGTATTTTTTGATAACAGCCATTGCAATGGGTGTGATAGGATTTGCTCTTTTCAATGGGATTGGTGAAGGAACTAGAATTCCAACGTATGACTCCTTCCCTCCATCTTTCCATCTTTCCATGTACTCTTTCATCCTTTTATACCATGGACTGTCCACCCATGCACCACTGTATTCTCATACCCATCTAATCATCCACTCATTCACCTTTCCAAGTGTCCTTCCCTTTACCTATGAAACCCTCTATCCATCTCCCATGAACCTATCCATCTCATAAATATATACAGAGCATCTCTTGTACACCAGGCACATTGCTAGGTGCTATGGACTCAACATAAGTCCTCCCAGACTTATTATTTTAACAGGGGGAATAACAAGAACTTTACTAATTAGGATACAAGGTAGAGAGTAACAAGTATGATGAAGCCTGGGGCTCTCCACTCTCGGGGACTCCTTCCCTTATCTGAGCAACGTGAAGGAGGGCTAGGCTTCAGCAGCTCTCACCCGGTAATCTGTGATTTCCTAAGATTTGTTGTTGTTGTGTGTTTTTGTTTTGTTCAGTTTTGTTTTTGTTTTTGTTGTCAGCCCTTGTCTTCTGACTTCCTTATCTTCCTTCTCTGTCTTGATCTTACTTCTGCTCCCCTGGGGAGAACCCTGGGCTTGAGGCTGGGATTTCTGCTCTGAGGAGATAAGGTAAACTGAATGACACTTAAGGCTTTAACTTTGAGTATGTGTGGAGTTGTTTTGAATATGATGTTATTTTTGCCCTGGTGACATACAGGCATTAGGGACCCCAAATATACTGAGGAAGAATAGAGATGGGTAGGTAAGACTTTGGTCCCAGATAATGAGAGATCAAGATGAATGGGGTCCCTGCTGGCTGGCTGGCTGATGGATGGATAAATGAAGGGAATGATTGATGATGAATGGATAGCAGCTGATGGAAGGGTGGGTGATGGACGGACAGTGGATGGGTGAACATGGATGAATGAAAGGATGATGGATGGATGGAGGATAGATGATGAATGATGGGTGAGGGGTGGATGATGGTAGACAGGTGCGTAAGAGCAGTCAATAAGATTGGTGCCACCATGGGTCTTAATTAAAGCTTTAATGAACAGTCCTTTTCCTCAGAAGTTATGTGGATAATGGTAGTTCAGCCCTTGGAGGCAGACACAGGGAGGTTTGGATCCTGTCTTTACCAATGCCTTGTGTGGACAAGGGACTTAATCTCTTTGACTCATTGTTTCCTTGTGTGCCTCCTTGTCAGAGCTGGGGTGAGGATTCATGAGAAAATGTGGATTAAGTACTCAGCATGGTGCCCAGTACCTAAAAATACACGTTAAAAGCTAACTCTTACTGATCATTTGATCGAATATTGATGGAGGCCTACTGTGTGTTCAGGGTGGCCTAACAGGCTATAAAAAGGAGGGTCCAGAACTAACTCCAGATACACAAATGACATTATATTCTTTTGAGGAGCAGAGTTGTGCTAAGGAGGCATAGTGCAGGATGACCTGGGGAACCCATTGAAGGGACAAATAAGGATAAAGCAATATGTTCGTGAAAAGTCCTCTAAAAATGAAGTCCAAGGAGCCCAAGAGTGTTGACCTTTGCACTATGAAGGCTTCCTTGTATTGTGTTCCTTCAGAGGCCCCCATATTTGGAACGTTTCTGCCTACCAGACAGCGTTTATTACATAATTGCCTGAACACCCAAATCAAGGGTAAAGGCGAGGTTTCCGTTGGGCCTTTTGAAACTTCAATTGTAGCTGAAGAATCCCACTTGCAGCTTTCAGGGGACCCTGAGGCAGGGTTCCAGAGTTTCACTGAGAGCCAGAACCTCCTTAGGACCCCGATAAATTCCAGTTCCCAGTGCTTCTGATTCACTGATTCACAAGCCCCCCAGAGCGACTCTGGTGAAGGTGTACTGGGACCACCATGAAAAATGCTGGCCTCAGGCTGGGATTCCAAGAATGAGCTCATGGGTCACATGAGGAGCTAGAGCAGAGGTGGGGAAAGTGAGCAATCGGGCGCCCCTCACTCCACACCTGGAGAGCTGCAGGCATGCGGGGTCCCCTGAACCCTGGGACTGTAGTGGGCTTGAGGGTGGAGATCGGTGGGCAGGATAAGGCATTGTGCCGAGATCTGGACCATTCAACCCGGGTGAGGGAGGTGAAAATGGGCGGGGCCAGGAGTGGGGCCGGAGGGCTGATCTACCCCTGGAGAGGAGCCTGCATTGGCTCACCAAATCCCAGAGCCCCCCAAACAGCCCGTCTCTAAAGCACAGAGCACAGTTAGTTACTGTCCGAGGCCAATTGGAGAGCTTCTGGGTCCTGTTAACTCGCTGCAAGATGAAAGTACAAATTAAGTGTTGTTTTGTTTTCCTTTCAGGTTTAGATGGTTTTGTGGAGGAGAGTCAGAGAGGGTTCTCAGGAGGCTAGAATTCATTTATTCATTCATTCACTCACTCAGGAAATGTTTGTTGAGTGCCTACTGGACACAGTAGGCACTGGGAATAAGGCGAGAACAAAACCAGTCACCTTCCTCATGGTGTAATGCTGAGGCCACGGCTCCAGCCTCGGGGAGAAAGTGACAGCCAGGCTCACCAAAACAATTTCTCTGGGCCACTGACCGAGGCGGAAGAGGAGGAAATAAATGTATATGAAAGTATCTGCCAGTTGCTCAAGTGCTAATCCTGGTTCTTTAGAATAACACATTAATAGTATTAGTAATAGGTAATGTTTACCGGATCTAATTTTGTGCCAGGTTCTATGCTAAGCACGTTGCAGGCATTTGCTCATTTAACCCCCACAACAAGACTATGAGATGGATATAATTATTAGCCCTGTCCTACAGATGAGGAAACTGAGGCTTACAGAAGTGGAATGACCCGCCCAACGGCACACAAGAGTAAATGGCAGAGGCAGGACTTGAACCCAGCTCTGTCTGGCTCCCAAATCATGTCCTTTATCTCATCTATGCCATGTAGCCTTCTAGAGGTGGGAGCGTGGGCTGCCTGGATAGTGGGTTCAAATGATGTCATGGGTGGACAGGACCTCTACAACTACCTGGTTGGGTCTCTACTTTCAGACTGGGGAATTGGAGGATCAGGGAGATAAAATGTCTTGTCCAGGGTCACACAGCAATGCCACCACAGAGCAAGATTAGAAAGCAAGTCTTCTGATAACCAGTGCAAAGCCAAGAAAGCACATGTTCTAAGGATATGTGAGTAAATAAGTATGTGTTTGTATGCAAGAAAAATAGGAGGAAGACAGACAGACACACACACACACACACACACACACACACACACACACACACACGTGGGGCTGGTGGTGGTCCCCAGGTAGGGTTCTGCATTTGTCCCTGAGATGTCACCCTGCCCCACCACCCTGTATACTCCCTCTTGGGTCACATAAGAAAATCCCTCTTGTCACTTGATCACCACATCTTCTTTTGGACCCCAGGCTCTCCCCAAGAACTCCACAGACATGTGGCTGGCTTTTGGGTTTTTGGTTTTTTTTGTTTCTTTGTTTTTCCTGGAAAAGATGCCCAGAGAAACCATGTCCTCATCCCAAACGATGGCATGTGGCTGTTCCCCAAACTTGAATCCCCCCCCTCCCCACCACAGACTCTGAAAGCACCTATGGGGGAGTTTCCGTGACAGCCCTGTGTCCTAGCGACCTCACTGGAAGACAGACGCAGCTGTCCAAGGGCATGGCTTTGAAGGGGCAGCACCGTGGGCCCGGACAAGTTCTGGTGTGTGAGGAATGTCAGCCCTGTGACTCTGTAATCACACCTTGGCCATGTGACAAGACTGCGAGCGTGTGACTGTGGGCTCAGGAACCACCGGGAGGTTTTCGAGGGAGCTGGGAGGGCCAATCAGCATTCCCCGAGGGCCCACACTGGGCCTGGGAGTTCTTTTTTTTTTTTTTTTTTAATTTTTTAAATTTTTTTAATGTTTTATTTATTTCTAGGAGAGAGAGAGAGAGACAGCGTGAGCAGGGGAGGGTCAGAGAGAGAGAGGGAGTCACAGACTGAAACAGGCTCCAGGCTCTGAGCTGGCTGTCAGCACAGAGCCCGACGCGGGGCTCGAACCCACGAACCGCGAGATCATGACCTAAGCGAAAGTCGGACGCTTAACCGACTAAGCCACCCAGGCGCCCCTGGGCCTGGGAGTTCTTACAAATGTCTCATTTATTATCCTCCCAGTAACGTTTATCCCCATTTTACAAGTGAGTCAACTGAGGCCGAAGAGGTCCTTGCATGTGCCTGAGGTCACACAGAGAGCAAACGGCAGAGCCAGGACCCGTGTCCTTGGCAGGACGGAACGGCTGCCGGGAATGCAGGCTTTGCCTGAGACCTGGGTCTCGGCTCTGCCATCGACGGGGCCTCTAACTGCGGGCACGTTACGCAGCCTTGCCAAGCCTCAGGGTCCTCATCTATAAAATGGGGGTGGTAAACAACGAGGTGGAGGGTGAGGTGCTGAATGTCAGCCTGGAGCCCAGCCCGGCCTGTGATCATAGCCCCATATGGCCTGACATCGTTATTTTTTAAATCGCGATAACCTTTTCCGGCCCCGCGTGCCCTGGTCTCATGCCACGCTGCCCGGCCATCCCTGCAGACCATTACTGGGACTTCCACCCGCACCACGTGCACAGCGAGTTCGAGAACTTCGCCGAGAACCACTTCACGGAGCTGCAGAGCGTGCAGCCCCCCCAGCTGCAGCAGCTCTACCGCCACATGGAGCTGGAGCAGATGCACGTGCTCGACACCCCCATGGCGCCGACCCACGCGGGCATCGGCCACCAGGTGCGTGCGGCCGCTGGTCCCGTGGGACCCGGTCTGTGGTGAGGCCGGCGCTTCACAGGAAGCTGACACAGGCTCTTACTCAACTCGGCTTCCTGCCCCACAGCGCCAACGGCGGCCGGAGCCCCAACGGCTGCCTCCTGACCCTCTGACTGACCTCGTGACCCCACACCCCTTATCTCCTCTAGCCCCACGATGGACAGAGCCCCGATAATTCCCACCCGCCACTGATCTGCCTGACCTCAAGAGCCCTTCTGATCCCCACTGCAATCCCCACCCACCGGCCCCTCTTGGATCTGGCATCCAAGTCGCTGGACACTGGCCTCCACTGGCCTCCTTGTCTCCATTGACCCCCTTTATTGATCGTCCTCAGCCCCAGGACCCTAATCCCAATCAGTGACCTCCATTAACTTCTACCACCCCTCACTGACCTCCGCTGGCCCTTCTCAAACTGCTCACCCACTTATTTTTTTTTTTTAATTTAAAAAAATGTTTTATTTATTTTTGAGAGAGAGAGAGACAGACAGCATGAGCAGTGGAGGGTCAGAGAGAGAGGGAGATACAGAATCTGAAACAGGCTCCAGGCTCTGAGCTGGTAGTCAGCACAGAGCCCGACGTGGGGCTTGAACTCATGAACCATGAGATCATGACCTGAGCCGAAGTTGGATGCTCAACTGACTGAGCCACCCAGGCGCCCTGCTCACCCACTTATTAAACCCCAGTCACTCCCATACCCAATCAACCCATTGGCCCCTTTTTGCTGCTGCCTCTGACCCCAAGAATGCCAGGCCACGTGGCACCTCTGTGCATGTGAGGAAAGGGTGCCCTTTCCCCTGGCCACATGGCCCTGAACCAGGAGCCCAGGGAGGGCCGGGTTCCAGCAGCCCCTGGCCCCCCACAACCCATGCCCTCTGTGTCATTGACCCTGCCTGACCCCTGTAACCTAACTGACCTCAGTGTTCTCTCCCTGCCTTTCCAGGTCTCCTACCTACCCCGGATGTGCCTCCCGTATCCCTCCCTGTCCCCGGCCCAGCCTAGCTCGGATGAGGAGGAGGGCGAGAGGCAAAGCCCCCCGCTGGAAGTGTCTGACGGGGAGGCCGATGGCCTGGAGCCAGGGCCTGGCCTCCTGCATGGGGAAACAGGTAGGGCGGCCCAACCATCCGGCCCAGCCCTGACCCTGGCCGTACATGTGCCCCGTGCACCCCAGCCAAGGGCACAGTAGTCACACCACAGAGTGTGTGTCCGTATCTGTGAGCATGTGAACGTTTGCCAGAGCGTGCACTGCACCTGTGACCATCTGCACCTATCTGTGTGCCAATGAGAGTGCATCGTGAGCGCGCACAGGCGTCTCGGTGACCGAGCGTGGGAGGCTGTATGCGTGTCTGTACCTCTCCGGGCCGCGTGTGAACGGGTGTGAGCGGGTGTGAGTGCCAGGTGTGGGGTGAAGGAGACCACTCCCTGTAGACCAGCCGCTACCACCCGTTCCCTCCCCAGTGACCACCCACCCCCAGAGGACCCACGTCAGGGGGAGGCGGTGAGGGTGGGTCCCTGGTGTTGGGGCGCTGACCACCTCCCACCCACAGGCAGCAAAAAGAAGATCCGCCTGTACCAGTTCTTGCTCGACCTGCTCCGCAGCGGGGACATGAAGGACAGCATCTGGTGGGTGGACAAGGACAAGGGCACCTTCCAGTTCTCGTCGAAGCACAAGGAGGCGCTGGCACACCGCTGGGGCATCCAGAAGGGCAACCGCAAGAAAATGACCTACCAGAAGATGGCCCGTGCCCTGCGCAACTACGGCAAGACGGGTGAGGTCAAGAAGGTCAAGAAAAAGCTCACCTACCAGTTCAGCGGGGAGGTGCTGGGCCGCGGGAGCCTGGCCGAGCGGCGCCACCCGCCCCACTGAGCCCAGGCCCACTGAGCTGGGCCCGCCAGGCCTTCCCGCTGGCCATAGCATTAACCCCTCGCCCGGCCCGGACACAGGGAGGCAAGCTCCCAGGGGCCAGGGGCAGGACTGTGGCGGGCCGGGCCTCGGCTTACCCATCCGCTCCCTCCTCCAAGCCTGCTACCCACAGCCTCTCCTCACCTCCTACCAGGACTCCAGCCCCGGCCCCAGAGGGCACCTGGGCGTCCGACTCCAGCGAAGGGTCAGCCTCGCTTAGTAAGACCCAGGGTGTGCTTCCTTGGGAGTTCCAAGTCACCAGATTTGTACAAATTGAACCCTCCTTCTTAAGTTTCCCCCTCCCACACCTGTCCCTCGTTAGCTTCCTCAAGGAACAGTCATTAAAGTTATTCTCAGTGAGTCCTTTTGTAGCACAGAGTCTCCTTTACGATTTTTTGTGTGTGTGTGTGTGCATCTTGTCTGGGTGCCCCTGTCTGAGCTCTCTTTTTCTCATGTGTCCTTTGGGCATTTACTACCAGCGCTGGGCAGGGACATCGGCACAAATGACACACAGTGCCTGACCAGGGGTTAGAGCTGGCGAAAGAACAGGGCCCTTGATTGTTAACAGGGGAATAAATCGTTAAAAAGGCCTCTGCACCTGATAAGTGAGCTTTTCAAAATGCCCCAGTCTGGGGCACCTGGGTGGCTCAGTCGGTTAAGCGTCCAACTTCGGCTCAAGTCATGATCTTGCGGTTCGTGAGTTTGAGCCTTATACCAGGCTCTGTGCTGACAGCTCAGAGCCTGGAGCCTGCTTTGGATTCTGTGTCTCCCCCTCTCTCTGCCCCTCCCCTGCTCCTGCTCTGTCTCTCTGTCTCTCAATAATAAATAAAAACATTTTTTAAAAAAACGCCCCAGTGAGGCTAAAACTCTTCAGGTTATGGGCCCAAAGAGGATGGTTAGTAATAATGACAGCCACACTGGATTTTCTGGCCACTTATTACATGTCAACCTTGAGAAGCAGAGTCTGATAGCATTCCATTTGATAGACCGGGAAACTGAGGCTTGGGGAGGTCAAATGATTTGTTCAAGGTCACACAGCTTGGGGGGGGGGGCTGGATTCCACCCATTCCACATGGGTGCTAAGTTAGTATGAGCAGGAAGCCTCCACATGTCTGGAATGGGGTGCTGTGGAGCCCGGCCAGGAGCAGGAATTAAGCCCCAAGGCATCCTCACAGCCTCCGTGCTGGCGGGACCCTAGTGCGTAGCTGCCATCTTGTGCTCTGGCGTCTAGTCCACAACAAGGGAGAAACAGAAAAACATGAGCCTGGAGGCGTCCTGCTTCCAACCGCGGCAAAATATGGGGGCAGACGGCCTAGGAGCCAGGAAACGACCCAAAGCAGCCGGCGGGCCTCTGGGAACCCGGACTCGGGGGCCATCAGCATCAGCGCAAACACCTTCTTGCCCCAAGAGCTAAACTGTGACCTCCCTTCTCAGGCCTCCAAGCCCCAAGAGAGAGTCAGTGGTGCTCAGTCCTCTTGAAAGAAGGCTAAGGGGGGGCGCCTGGGTGGCTTAGTCGGTTAAGCGTCCGACTTTCGCTTGGGTCATGATCTCGCGGTTCGTGGGTTCGAGCCCCGCGTCGGGCTCTGTGCTGACTGCCATCTCAGAGCCTGGAGCCTGTTTCTGTCTGTGACTCCCTCTCCGTCTGACCCTCCCCTGCTCACGCTGTCTCTCTCTCTCCTAGAAATAAATAAAAATTAAAAAAAAAAAAAAGAAGGCTAAGGGAATGTGATACAGTTTAAAAGTAGTTAAAAAGCACTCCACAGAGGCAGAGAAGAAGGGATTCCGTGTCTAAAGGAATGGTAAGTTTGGACCACGTGGCAATGCTTGTGTATAGAATCCCTCCCGTGAGGGTCAGGAGGGACAAATGACCTCTCCTGAAGTTGGATCGTGCTTGGAGAGAGTCATGTGTAATTTGCTTCTTTCTGTGTAGCAGCCGATGCCCCTTAGGTGACGGGGGTGGGGAGGGGCAGTCACAGACGCCCAAAGTTCATAGAGGAACAGTGGGGGTGGGGATGGGGATTCAGAATATTCTGGCAGTATTTTCTGTGCGAATCCTTGTGACCTTGGCAAGAGCCATCTCTGCTTCTGACTCCCACTTTGGGGTTTGTCCCAATATCCTTACCAGTGGGCCCCACCCAGGCCTTCCCCTTGGATGGTGCCAGGCCCCAGTACTGCCCTCTCCCCCGCTGGCCCTGGACTAAGCCCACCCAGGACTCCGCAGCACTCACCCAGCCCAGGGCCCTGCGAGCTGCAATAAGAGAGACATTTTCGTTCAGCACTTACTACGTGCCTGGCTCTGCCCTAGACTTTTCACTTATAAACCCACTTTGCTCATGGAACAGTCCTACATGGTGGGTGCTGCTGTGATCACCCCACTTTACAGATGAGGAAACTAAGGCACTGAGCCTAAGGGAGTGGCAGCCTCTGGTCTCAGGGCAGCCTGGCCCCAGGATCTGGATCTTTCTACATACCAGTTCACAATGCAATTTCCCTGTAAGATGAGCATAGAGATAGGGCCTGGGGTCCCCCTGAGGTACCAAGGGTTGGAGGGGCAGAAGCCATCCCATTGGACTGGAGGGGGAAGGGACAGGAGCTAGCTGGGAACGGTGTGCTATCTCCCTGGAGAGCCTCGCTCTCTGGAATTTGTCTATATTTAGCAGGTGACTGGGCAGGAGGCAGATAAGAAATCCTGGGGAGGGGGAGGGCCCCTTATATAGTGTGGCAGGACAGGTCCTGCTCAGATCCTCCTCGGGTGGCCTGTGACTCCTCCGTTCCCAGTGTGACCTCTCTCAAGATGCCTGAGCCGGGGAAGAAGCCAGGTAGCTGCAGGCCTGCGGTTGGTGCTGGGGGTGGCCAGGAGGGCTGGGGCATCTATGATTGGGGGGTGGGTCTCAGAGTGAGTTCCTGAGAGTGGGGGCTCCCTTCTGGGTCCTTTTCTGATTCTTAGTTTCTCCTTCCCGTCCTTCTGATGAGAGTGAGGGCAAACCAGGGCCAGGGGGCACAGAGAGGGCCATCACCCCAGTCTCAGGACAGAAGAGGACCTCTTCCCTGTCCCCATCCCATCGCCTGCAGCAAGATTAGGCCTGGGCTTGCCTTTTGGGAAAAGGCCGCCACAGGCAGGGGCCCAGGTTGAGTCTAGACTTGAGCCAGTCTCACTGAATGTTCTGGAGCAAGCCCTTAACCTCTCTGGGTCTCAGTTTCCCTATCTGTACAAGGAGGAGTTGGGTTGGCTGTCTCCATCTGTGAGATTCTCCGCTTTATGAGCCCGCACCCCTGTGACCCCCCCCACACCAGGCATGACTCCCACGTTGAGAAAATGCAGTTCCTTTGTTCTGGGAGACGATGGTCAAGAGGGTGCTCCTGGGCCAAAGACAGAGAAAGTCACAGGCCAGGGACCAAGGTCATTCAGGGCAGGGAGCTAGCCCCCCAGCCCCCAGCGCCTCCTAGGCCAGCTTTATCTCAGTTGCTGATTCTCAGCCTGAGGCCCTTGGAGAACAAATTTAGCCACACTCAAGTAGGCAGAGTGCCTGCCCATTGCTAAGGGCCCCAGATGGTGGAGGAGAGAGGGAGCTGGGCTTCCCCAGGAAGGAAGGGTGGGGTATCCAGGGACACACCTAGCAAAAATCTTTTGTGGAGGTTAGGACCATGGCCCTGGCTCGTCTGCCTACTGGCTGTGTGATCTTGGATAAGTCACTTAACCTCTCTGAGCCTCAGTGTCCTCATCTGAAAAATGGGCATAATAATTGCATCTGTCTCATAGAGCCACTGAAGCATTAAACGAGGTGATGCGTCACAGTGCCTTAGGAAGAAGGGGTGCAGGAGTGGGGTGCCTGGGCAAGCCAGGGGCTCCTGCAGCGTCCATTGGCCTATCTCAGTCTCAGCCTTCAGCAAGAAGCCAAGGTCAGTGGAGGTGGCTGCTGGCAGCCCTGCTGTGTTCGAGGCCGAGACAGAGCGGTCAGGAGTAAAGGTGCGCTGGCAGCGGGAGGGCAATGACATCAGCGCCAGTGACAAGTACAGCCTAGCAGCCGAGGGCACGAGGCACACTCTGACAGTGCGGGACGTGGGCCCCGCCGACCAGGGATCCTACGCAGTCATCGCTGCCTCCTCCAAGGTCAAGTTTGACCTCAAGGTCATAGAAGCAGGTAAGACCCTGGTCAGCCTTCCCTGAGGTTTGAGCTTCTGGAAAGCCTGGCCATCTCTCCCTCGCCCAGCGTATGGGAGGTGCCCTTCCACTTTCTTGCCTTTGCTTTGGCCGAGCCATCAGCCAGGAATGCCCTTCCTCCCTTTTCTGCAGCAAGACCTCACCGAGTGTCCCCATGCGTCTCCCTGGCCTGTTCCAGTCACTGTGGACGTAGGGAAAGTTCAGATGGATAAGGCACTGTGGCTCCCTGCCTCCGGACACCCTCTCACCCTCTCATGGGCTGTGTGTGCGCCGCGGGGAAGCCCCTGGTTGCTGCGCGTGTGGAGGGAGCCCTGGTCCAGCCTGGGGACAGGAGGGGAGGGATGGAGCCCAGAGCTGCCCGGCAGACCCACCAGGGCGTGGGCGCGCTGGCTGCCAGGGTGAGGAGGCCAGATGCGGGTGCACGAAGCTTCGCACACACTGTAGTACGTGACCGGCCTGCAAAGACCGAGGGGGGCCAGGCCCAGGAGGAGGGCTGTCTGCTCAGAAGCTGTTCCCCGACCCCAACCCTTTCCCTTCCAGAGAAGGCAGAGCCTGTGCAGGGCCCTGCCCCTGCCCCTGCAGAGGCTCCTGGAGCCTCCAGAGAAGCGCTGGCCTCGGCCGCTGAGGAGGAAGGAGGCTCCCCAAGTCCCGAAGGCGAGCTGGTGCAGGGAGGGCGGTGCAGGGAGGGCGAGGGCCAGCAGACAGGGTGTTCCAGGGTGGGTCACGAAGGCCTCTGCTCACAGGGTCAAGCTCAGCAGCCCCCGATGGCTCTGGTGCCTCTGATGACCCCATCGGCCTCTTTGTGATGCGGCCACAGGATGGCGAGGTGACCGCAGGTGAGTGTGGGCTGCGGCACCCCGAGGTGGGGTGGGGTAGGGGGGCAGCAGGGCATCCCCCAAGCCCCAGCCCGTCGCCCTTCCCCCGCAGGTGGCAGCATCACCTTCGCAGCCCGCGTGGCCGGAGCCAGCCTCCTGAAACCGCCCACGGTGAAGTGGTTCAAAGGCAAGTGGGTGGACCTGAGCAGCAAGGTGGGCCAGCACCTGCAGCTGTGCAACAGTTATGACCGGACCAACAAGGTGGGGCCTGCGGGCACAGCACAGTTCAGGGGCCCCGTGGAAAGAGGGCATGGGGAGCCCCTGGGAGGCACCGGGTGGACAGGGAAGCCTGCGGGCACCCTGAGACTGAAGGCACACAGCAGGTGCAAAGATGAGACCTAGGGAGGCTGGGAAGCAGGTTGGATGGCCAGGGGCACATGGGGAGAACGGGGGGGAGGAGGCAGGAGACCTGTGGGACGTGGGGGGCTTGGAGGGCAGGATAGTCTCAAGGGGGCATAATAAAACTTGTGGGGGCAGGGGGCCCAGGAAGGCTGAGGGACCTCGTGAAGCATGGGGGCGGGCGGCATCAGCCAGCGAGGATGTAAAGCCTCTGCATGGATGAGTATGGGAGCTCAAGGGCCCTTTCATCATACAGACAAAGAAACCCAAGCTTGAGAGGTTATTGCTGCTGGTCTGCTGTCACTCAGAGCCGGGCCCAGAACCTGTGCTTTGACTCCCAGCTTTTGCTCCTCTCCCTCTTCCAGAGTCGTGGCTCAGGCAAAGATGACTCTGGCAGGGCGGGGACAATATGTTCAGTTGTGTGAGTTGTGCACTGCACAAAAGTGCCTCATCTTAAGTGAAGGTCATTTGCCTTGTAGCCATCACTGATTTACATTTTATCACCACCTGTGCCAGCAGATGGCAGTCATGTATCTTGAAAAGGGACTCTGTCCTATTTAAACAAACCCCTTACACACAGGTTAATTAAACCCTGAGGGGTGAAAATGCTGGTGGCCATTACCCACTCCCAGTCTCCTTCAGGGGTGAAGGGCCTCCTCTTCCGGCTCCTGGTCTCCCCTGATACCTTGCCCCTCTACAGGTCTACCTGTTTGAGCTGCACATTACAGATGCCCAGCCTACCTTTGCAGGCGGCTACCGCTGTGAGGTTTCCACCAAGGATAAATTCGACAGCTGCAACTTCAGTCTCACTGTCCATGGTGAGAGGAGCCCTGGTGTCCTGGGCTCAGGTCCCCCATGAGTCTTACCCCCATGTCTGCCTCCATTTCCCAACACTAAGGAGGATGGCTACTCCCAACCAGACAACTGCCGACCGCCGGCTCAGTGCTGCTCATGCTGGGGCACGAGAGAAATCCAGGGATGTTTCCAGGGTCGGGGTGGGGTCTGAGAGCCAAGTCCAGATCTCACCTGGATGGTGAGATGGTCCAGGCTCCTGGCACAGGCGAACAGGTGAAGGGTGAGCTGAGAGCTGAATGGGAGATCAGCCACTGCTAAGGGACTGGGTACCAACTACCCAAACTCCCTGGCACCTCAATCCTGGAAAGGCTCAAAATGTGGGGTCCTGGGGCAGATGCCCACTCTCAAGGGTCATGGATGGGTGGGTCTGTGATAATCAGAGATTCCGGGGCGAGCGAGGCTTCTGAAACGGCCCCTCTGAAGCCCCTTCCCCGTCTCATCTCCCTCTCTGAACACAGAGGCCATTGGCCCTGGAGACCTGGACCTCCGATCAGCTTTCCGCCGCACGTGAGTAGCCATCTCTTCTCAGGGACGGCGGGGAGGCCTGTGCTGGGATCTGAGGCCCCTCGGGGTCAGGGCTGGGGATGATGCGGGGGTGGGGTTGTGGGGGACAGGACTGAAGTTGATAGGAATGGGGGAGGGGACAGCAACCTCCCAGGGCAGATGAGGAACTTGTTCTAATCCCACAGGAGCCTGGCTGGAAGTGGTCGGCGGATCAGGTACCCCTCTCCCAGCCCGTACTTGTCAGACTTTGGGGGTCTGAGATGGATAGGGAGCCCCCACCCAGCCAGTGTCCCTTCCTCTCCCAGCACCTCTCCCCACCACCTCCCCAAGCCCTTTCCAGTTGGGGAGGTCCTTACTGGGGTCCCTCTCCATAGTGACAGCCACGAGGACGCTGGAACTCTGGATTTCAGCTCGCTGCTGAAGAAGAGGTGAGCCCCTGGGTAGCAGCTCCTGGGGCAGATGGTGAGGCCGCACTTCAAATCCCAGCAGTGCAGTTTTCTGGCTGTGTGGCCCTGAGCTGGTTATTGTACCTCTCTAAACCAGTTTCCCTATCTGTCAATGGGATCATCCTAGGGGTGCCTGGGTGGCTCAGTCAGTTAAGTGGAGACTTTGGCTCAAGTCAAGATTTTACGGTTTGTGGGTTTGAGCCCTTCGTCAGGCTCTGTGCTGATGGCTCAGAGCCTGGAGCTGCTTCAGATTGTGTCTCCCTCTCTCTCTGCCCCTCCTCTGCTCACACTCTGTCTCTCTCTCTCTCAAAAATAAGTAAACACTAGGGGCGCCTGGGTGGCTTAGTTGGTTGAGTGTCCGACTTTCGCTTAGGTCATGATCTCGCGGTTCGTGGGTTGGAGCCCTGCGTGGGGCTCTGTGCTGACTGCCAGCTCGGAGCCTGGAGCCTGTTTCAGAGTCTGTGTCTCCCTCTCTCTCTGATCCTCCCCTGCTCACGCTGTCTCTCTCTCCTAGAAATTAAAAAAAATAAATAAAAAAAATAAGTAAACACTAAAAAAAAGGGGGGGGGATAATCCTGGTGTTGGGAAGAGTCAGAGGGCTCAGCAGATATTTCCTGTGAACTAACATCCTAACATCCTCACGGGGTCCCCCACTACCCCTGATGCCTGAGTCTATGAGAGCTTGTCTTAGTAGGCTCCGGGGACTCACGAGATGGCAGAGGGGCCCCAAGTTGCAGGAATTGCTCCCCCAGCCCCTCCACTGACCCTGTGTCCTCTCCCTCTCTCTCCGCACCCTGCGTTATGGCTGATGCTGCCGCGACCCAGAGAGTAAGCATGGGGGGCCGGTGTCTGGGGGCAGCAGGGTGCTGGTGGGACGCTGTACCCTGGTGAGGGACGGGGCTGGGAGTCAGACACACCTGAGTGCGGATCCCCACTGCCCGGGGCGTCTCTGAGCCTTCGGTTCTCCAGATACCCACCCACCAGAGCTCAGAAGGAACAAACAAGGCCATGTGTGGGGAAGGCCCTGCTGTGTAAATGGAGGGACACAGGGGTGGGGAGAAGGGAGGGGCGAGGGCCCAGGGGCCGTGGCCAGGATCTTTGTGGGCAGGTGGCCCACGTCTCTAATGGCCCACTCTGCCTTTGTGCCCTGCCCGGAGCAGCAGCTTCCGGAACCTGAGGTGAGTGCCTGATGAAGCCTGCGCCCCCGTCGCCCCCACTTCCACCGGGACTCCCCCATACTGAACTTGAAGTCCAAAGCCAGCCCAAGCTGTACCAACGGAGGGGCAGAGGCAGTTACGGCTCCTTGGTCCTGGGATCCAGGAAGCCCCACCCCAGGGGAGGGCAGGTGGGGGGCGACAGTCCTGCCCCTGGCCAGAGGGGATTCCCTTGAGGCCTCTCTGCTGGACGCAGGGACCCGAGGCTGGAGGCGCCACCCGAGGAGGACGTTTGGGAGATCCTGCGGCAGGCATCCCCCTCGGAATATGAGCGCATCGCATTCCAGCACGGCGTCACCGACCTGCGCGGCATGCTCAAGAGGCTCAAGGGCATGCGGCGGGATGAGAAGAAGAGCACAGGTTAGTGCTCCCCTGCCGTGCGAGAGGAGAGGCCACGCGTGCGCACACAGGCACGCGCACAGGCGCGCGCGCACACACAGGCACGCGCGCGTACAGACATGCGCGCGCGCACGCAAAGGTAAGAGTCCAGCTTAGCCCAGAGACACCACGAGAAGAGAACAGAGCACAGCTGGGCCCTCCTCACTGAGTAGAAGCCTGGAGGCTGCTATAAACCAGAGTCAAGGGGCAGAGAAGGTCCCTTTGGCTGCCATCTCCGTCTCCGGCCAAGCTTCTGTCTCTCTGGGAGCCTCTAACCCTATCCCTGAGCTGAGCCGCTGGAAGGGACCCCAGCCAAGGCAGAGGGACAAAAAGAGAGAAAGAGACAGACGCATAGAACAGAGATAATAGACAGGCATAGTGGAGATAGAGAAAACGGGGGGGAGGCAGGCGGAGTGTGATGGGAGGACTCAGCCCACTGGCACAGCCGCCAGCCACCGCGATGGGTGTGAGCCTTCTGGGGCAGCGGGGGCCGCAGCGCCGTGGGGGCGCTGACGGAGGTGCTCAGCCTTTCAGAAGAAGCTGGAGCCCGCCTACCAGGTGAGCAAGGGCCACAAGATCCGGCTGACCGTGGAGCTGGCCGACCCCGACACCGAGGTCAAGTGGCTGAAGAATGGACAGGAGATCCAGATGAGCGGCAGGTGCGGTGGAGGAGGGTGGGCACAGTCCTGGGAGCGTGGGCTGGGGGGACAGGGGGGCGGGGCGGGGAGGCTCCCAGCCTGCTCTCCGCCTCAGCCTGCCTTCTCTGTCTCTGTGCCGCTTCGGTTCTGTGTGTCTCTCCGCATGTCCCTCTCCCTGGGCCTAACTGCCCATCTTTCTGTTTCTGCCTGCCTCTGTTCCTCCCCTCCTTCCTCCTGTTCCCGCTTCCTCCCACCTGGATGCTCCCACGGCCCCTTGTGCCCCACAGCAAGTAAGGCCCAGCTCCTGGAAGGAAGGCGGGGGGTGGGGGCACGGTCCGACAGGGGTGGGTCGGACGGGGCACCTGGGACGCACGAGGTGAGCGATGGCTCCTCATCCACACTCCCGGCCCCGCGCCGCTCCTGCGCAGGTACATCTTCGAGTCCATAGGTGCCAAGCGCACGCTGACCATCAGCCAGTGCTCGCTGGCCGACGACGCGGCCTATCAGTGCGTGGTGGGCGGGGAGAAGTGCAGCACCGAGCTGTTCGTCAAAGGTGGGCCCGGCCCGGGGCCCCTGGGCGCCTGGGAGCCTGTGGCGAGGGCGCACAGGGCTCGGCCAACTCTGTTCTCCTTGCTCAACAGAGCCCCCTGTGTTGATCACCCGGCCCTTGGAAGACCAGCTGGTGATGGTGGGGCAGCGGGTGGAGTTTGAGTGCGAAGTGTCCGAGGAGGGGGCCCAGGTCAAGTGGTGAGTGGCAGAGACACGGGGGCGTGGGCAGGGCTGGGGGCCCTGTGGGCGTCCCCAAAGGAGGCTGCAGCACTCACTGCCCGCCCACCGGCCAGGCTGAAGGATGGGGTGGAGCTGACCAGGGAGGAGACCTTCAAATACCGGTTCAAGAAGGACGGGCAGAGACACCACCTCATCATTAACGAGGCGACGCTGGAGGACGCCGGGCACTATGCGCTGCGCACCAGTGGGGGCCAGGCGCTGGCCGAGCTCATCGTGCAGGGTGAGGCGTGGTTGGGGGGGGGTGGGGGGAGGAGGTTGGGGGGGATGGGGAAGCACAGGAGCACAGGAGGCTTCAAGGCCCTGGGCGCCCTGGGCCCCAGCACCACCCTGGGAATCAGGCAAACCCAGGATGGAGGTCCATGTGACCTTGGGCAAGTCACTCTGACACATTGAGCCTCACCATTCTCATCTATAAAATAGGGGTGCCGAGGTGGCCACCTCAGAGAGTACTGGGAGGACCAGATGGGCTTGGTTAGTGTCACCCCCCCACCCCACACACACTTGAGCACTGTACTATCATAGGCACATGTGAATCACAAACATGCACACACACGCATGTTTTCACATGCCCATGTGATCACATGGATTCATGCCCACACCTACCCTCCCCAGCTCACTGACTTTGCCCTCCCCGCCCCAGAGAAAAAGCTAGAGGTGTACCAGAGCATTGCAGACCTGACTGTGGGTGCAAAGGACCAGGCGGTGTTCAAGTGTGAGGTGTCCGATGAGAACGTGCGGGGGGTGTGGCTGAAGAACGGGAAGGAGCTGGTGCCCGACAGCCGCATAAAGGTGTCCCACATCGGGAGGTGAGTGTGCAGAGCTGGGCCCCAATGCAGAGGAGGGCAGGCTGATGGGGCAAGCAGAGACTGAGACAGACAGAGAGAGAAACAGGCACAGAGAAACAGACAGAAGAGCAGACAGAGACAGAGACTGAGGTAGAGACACATAGGGAGACAGGGAAAAATAGAGACCGAGAGAGAGAGAAACAGAGATGGATAGAGAGAAGACACGCAGATAGACAGAGGACACAGACTGAGAGACAGAGGCAGAGAGGCAGAGACAGAAGCACACAGAAGAGAATCCTGCAGAGGCAGAGGACAGAAACAGAGAAGTAGTGAGACAGACAGGCTGGGCGTCCCCCTGACCCCCTCCCCGCAGGTCATGGCCAGGGCAGGGCAGGAGGCCGCCGGGCTGGCTCTGGCCAAGGGCCCTCACTGTCTCCCACTCTTACTCATGCCTCGAGCATCTGCACTGGCACGTGCTGGGTCCAAGGTCACAGAGATTAGTGAGACCAGCCCCTGCTTAGTCTCTCAGGGCCCAGCCAAGGGGCACTTGTACATTGCCTATCTCTGAAAACACGCAAGGGAGCTGGAACGTCAAAAATAGAGAAAGAGCTGGGGCGCCTGGGTGGCTTAGTCGGTTAAGCGTCCGACTTTCGCTTAGGTCATGATCTCGCAGTTCGTGATTCGAGTCCCGCGTCGGGCTCTGTGCTGACTGCCAGCTCAGAGCCTGGAGCCTATTTCAGAGTCTGTATCTCCCTCTCTCTCTGACCCTCCCCTGCTCACGCGGTCTCTCTCTCTCTCTCCTAGAAATAAATAAAAAATATTTAAAAAAAAATAAATAGAGAAAGAGAGCGTTTAAAATACCAGCACACCACTGAGCTAAGGTGGGGGAAGGGCCCTCTGGAGCACCGACTATGGTGAGGCTGGGGTGTGTGGCCCAGCGGGGTTCCCTGAGCCACCACATCCCTGCAGGGTCCACAAACTGACCATTGATGACGTCACGCCTGCGGACGAGGCTGACTACAGCTTTGTGCCTGAGGGCTTCGCCTGCAACCTGTCGGCAAAGCTCCATTTCATGGGTGAGTGGGCACCTGGGCCAGGTGGGGGCCCGTCTCGGGGCTCTGCCTTTGCCCAGCGCCGTGCCACTTGCTCTTCCTTCTCTTGCAGAGGTCAAGATTGACTTCGTGCCCAGGCAGGGTGAGTCACGGGATCTCCTCCCCACGCCCTACTTCACGCACATCCCCCTCCACTCACAGAGGGAAGAGCAAGGAACTGGAGTGGGGACCCCAAGCCCCAGCCCCAGCTCTGCCAGTCACAGCCATGGGCCAGTTATAATCTCTGTGCACCTCAGTTTCCTATTCTCGAAAGTGGGAATTCTGAGGTGCCTCCTCCACGGGGTGTAGGAAAGAGGAGACGGAAAGATGTGAGGTTTCATTATTAATTTTCTGCTTTTAGAAGTACCCCTTCTTCTTTTAGACTAAACATCTATCAGGTATCTATCTGAACTTCAGGAGGGCGGTCCAGGCTGAGGCTTGCTCCAGGGCAGGGCTCTCTAAACTAGGTTCACTGAATAGGATACTCCGTTTAAAAGGGTTCCATGGTTGGGGGCGCCTGGGTGGCTCAGTCGGTGAAGCATCCAACTTTGGCTCAGGTCATGATCTCGCGGTTTGTGAGTTGGAGCCCCGTGTCAGGCTCCATGGTGACAGCTCAGAGCCTGGAGCCTGCTTTGAATTTTGTCTCCTGCTCTCTCTGTTCCTTCCCTGCTTGCACACAGGTTCTCCCTCTCAAAAAAATAAAATAAATAAGCATAAAAAAAGGGGTGCCTGGGTGGTTCAGTGGGTTAAGTGTCCGACTTCGGCTCAGGTCATGATCTCACGGTTTGTGGATTTGAGCCCCACGTCAGGCTCTGTGCTGACAGCTAGCTCAGAGCCTGGAGCCTGCTTCCGATTCTGTGTCTCCCTCTCTCTCTGACCCTCCCCTGCTCATACTGTCTCTCTCTCTCTCAGAAATAAATAGAAAAACATTAAAAATTAAAAAAAAAAAGGTATATGTAAGAGGTGAATCACTGGATTCTACTCCTGAAGCCAAGACTACACTATATGGTAACTCACATAAGAATTTAAGGAAAAAAAAAGTTCCATCGTGAAGTATGTTTGGGAATCACTAAACACTTGGTCCACCTCTTGCTGATTCAGAAGCATGTCAAAGGCTCTGAAAAATTCTGTGGTGAAGAAATGTGCTTAACTTTGTTAAATCCAGGGTCTTCTCGTTGATTTGGCCATGGAAACTTCTTTTTCTTTTTTCTGGCAGGACATTGGTATTCCTCCTAAGGTCTGAGAAATGCTACAGGAGGCGACCCGGTGTTACAAAGTTCCCTAGGAACTTTCTGAGGAGATGGAAAGGTTTTAGATCTTTACCTGGTGGTGGTTGCACAGGTGTATACATTTGTCAAAGCTCATGGAGCAGTATGCTCAAATCTTGCCATCTTATTGAGTGGAACTTATATGTCAGTCAAATTGATTACAAAACGACCACCAGGGACATGGACTCCTTCCAGTTTCCCCCCCTTTCATGGGCCTTGGGCCCTTGCCCCCTTCTCAGACCTATGCCATCTCCCCCCCCAGAACCTCCCAAGATCCACCTGGACTGCCCAGGCCGGAAGCCGGATACCATTGTGGTTGTGGCTGGGAACAAGCTACGCCTGGATGTCCCTATCTCCGGGGACCCTGCTCCCACTGTGATTTGGCAGAAGACCCTCACACAGGTACTGTGGGTCCCTCCTCCACTTCCCCATCTGTAAAATGGGTGCGCGGGACTGATGGGTGTTGGCATCTGCTCCCCACCCACCCAGTGCACACCCTTCCACTGGCCACCGACTGGGAGGGAGTGCAGAGGCTCAGTTGGCTGGGAGGAGGGCAAGGTGGGCAGCAGAATGGGGGTGGGTAAGGGCGGGGGGCAGATGGGTCGCTGGGCAGGGATGCCTTCCTGGTTGAGTCAGGCCCTCTTCCCCCTGCCTCCCTTCTGCTCGGTTCCCAGAAGAACAAGGTCCCAGCAGGGCCATCCCCAGATGCCCCAGGAGATGCAGGCACCAGTGACGAGTGGGTGTTTGACAAGAAGGTGAGTGAGGCTGATGGTGGGATCCAGCTCTTGGCCTTCTGTGATTTTCTGTCTACACAGTTTCCACCCTTCAGTGAGGTCTCCGTGAAGCTGCCACACCTGGGCAGCTGTGTTCCTGCCCCAGGCGTGGCCTACATGAGCTCCTCATGCCTTGGTCAGGCACAAGTTCCCTGAACATTGCTGGGAAGCCCTCATGACTGGGCTGTTCCCAGGCTCCCGTCCTGCTCAGCTGACCTTGACTTTGCACTTCTTCTGGACTGGGGAGTGGGTTTCCCTGGCACTTTTCTGTAAGAGTAGCTGCCTGGACACCACTCAGGCCAGCTCTTCCTCCACCAGCCACCTGAGGTCTTTCGGGATCCTCAGCTCCATAAGGTCATGTGATTCCTTCCCATTTGGCAGCTAAGAAAACTGAGGCACAGAGAAAATAGGCCAGACCTAGAGCCCAAGCCCCTTGCCCCAGTGCTTTGCCCATGGCAGGCTCTAAACAAAGGTTTTTGGACTCGGTGCTCACATGAGTGCAGTTTCCACGCAGGCTGCATCTGCTCCCCGGACCCTGTGCAGAGCTCTGTTCTATCTCCGGCTATTGCACGGGCTGTCAAAGCCTGTGGTATCCGACTTGGTCCCTTCTTCCCAAACTCCCCTGCCCCCCACCCCAGCTGCTGTGTGAGACTGAGGGCCGGGTCCGGGTGGAGACCAGCAAGGACCGCAGCATCTTCACCGTAGAGGGGGCAGAGAAGGAAGACGAGGGTGTCTATGTTGTCACAGTGAAGAACCCCGTGGGCGAGGACCAGGTCCACCTCACAGTCAAGGTCATCGGTGAGGCTGGCCGGCCTGGGGCCACCAGGGAGGCCCGTCAGTTTACTCATTTAGCCACTTGACAAACATCACGGGCATGCTCTCAGCTCCATGGAGAGAACTGGGATGAGGACATGGGTGAACATGGGCAGTGGGGAGCCATGAAGAGCAGTGATCACAGGCTGGTGACATGATCAGAACTGCATCCTAGAAGCATCTATGGGGTGGTGGGGGCAGGCAGCCTTGGCCCTGGGCCCCGGGCGGGGCTGATGTGGACCCGTCCCTCCAGATGTGCCGGATCCCCCTGCGGCCCCCAAGATCAGTAACGTGGGTGAGGACTCCTGCACCGTGCAGTGGGAGCCGCCTGCCTACGACGGTGGGCAGCCAGTCCTGGGTGAGTGCAGGGCACGGGCATAAGGCACAGGGCCGGGGTACGGGGCCGTCTGGGCCCCAGGCCAGAGCTCCTGCCTCCCCTTCATCAGGCTACATCCTGGAGCGCAAGAAGAAGAAGAGCTACCGGTGGATGCGGCTGAACTTTGACCTGCTGCGGGAGCTGAGCCACGAGGCGCGGCGCATGATTGAGGGCGTGGTGTATGAGATGCGAGTCTATGCGGTCAACGCCATTGGCATGTCCAGGGCCAGCCCTGCCTCCCAACCCTTCATGCCGATCGGTGAGCCTGCCTGGCCTGGCACCGCCCCACGTCAGAAGCAGCTGCTCTGTGGGCAGCCCCTGCACTAGGCATTTACATCATGGTCCCCTTTAAAAGGCTCTGTCGGGGATAAAACTCTTGTTTCACAGATGAAGGAAGTGAGGCTCCAAGAGGTTAAAGGACTTGCTCTAGGTCACCTAGCTGGTAGGGGTGGAGCTGAGCCTCGTACCACCCTGTTGATGCCTCTCAGGCCTCACTCTCCACATCTATAAAATGGGGATAATGACAGTATCTATTTCATGGAACTGCTGTTATGGTGAAATGAGATAATGCAGGCAGAACATCTGGCATACAGCAGGTGGTCAATAAATGGTAACTGTCCCCTCTTTCCCACTCCCTTCAAATGTTAACTGTCCCCTCTTCCCCATTCCCTTCAAGCAGGGTTTGTCATGTATGGGACAGAGCAAGGGCACTGGGTACCTGGGGGTTCTAAGAGGCTTGGGTCTGTGGTAAGGACCCTGGACTGGACTCAGATGGAGTTTGTAGAGCCAGCTCCCCCACCCCCGGGGGAGCCATCTGGGGTCACTGCCCTGAAGTCTCCATTTCCTCATCTGAGTCATGGGGGTCGGCAGGGTAGAACAGACGCTGAGGGTGTGTCAGGCTCTGGAGGACAGCTGTCCCTACCAGGATGTGGGGAGGGGGGGTGGTGGCTGTCTGTGGCGCCGGCAGGCGCCCTCCCCGGCTCCTCGCCCAAGGACCCGGCCCAGCTTGCGGAATGGCAGCAAGGGGTGGGGGGTGGGGCTGTGGGGAGAAGGGTCCAGGTCCCTCTCTTTAGAGACTGGCTTCCAGTCAGCCAACTATTAGTCAGCTGTTAGTCAGCTCGCCTGCTCATACAGTGCCAGGAAATTCCCTGTTTTAAGCTAGTTTTTCTTTAAATTACATTTATAGCATTTCCTATGTTGTCTGACAGAAAGGGCTCTTTGGGGGTATTTATTCCTATTTAGAGCTCTTTTTTTTTTTTTTTTTTTTTTTTTGAGGTGAGAAGAGGCAGGGAAAGAGAGAATCTGAAGCAGGCTCCATGACCAGCACGGGGGCCTGAAGGGGGGCTTCATCTCCCTGTGAGATCATGACCTGAGCAGAAATGAAGAGTCTGCTACTTAATGACTGAGCCACCCAAGCGCCCTAGGCTCCCTTTTGTAATTGCTGTTGCAGTTTGTTTTTAAGCCTATCTAGAGACATGTCTTTTTTTTTTAATTTTTAATGTTTATTTTTGAGAAACTGAGAGAGATAGAACATGAGCAAGGGAGGGGCAGAGAGGGGGAGACACAGAATCAGAAGCAGGCTCCAGGCTCTGAGCTGTCAGCACAGAACCTGATGCAGGGCTTGAACCCACGAACTAGGAGATCATGACCTGAGCCGAAGTCAGATGCTCAACCGACTGAGCCCCCCAGGCACCCCTAGAGACATGTCTTTTAGTGGGAGCTGGAATATTCTGACAGTGCTTGAATAAGCCAGATGAAGGGCAAGTGCCCCTGTGTGACTGGTGGCCAGTTGAGGGTCTGGGTCATATCCCTTCAGTGTCCCCCACCCCCACCGGTGGTGCAGGCCCACTCTGACCCCTCTCCGACTCCACCTCTGTCTCTGCCTAGGCCCCCCCAGTGAGCCCACCCACCTGGCCGTGGAGGATGTCTCGGACACCACCGTCTCCCTCAAGTGGCGGCCCCCGGAGCGGGTGGGAGCTGGAGGCTTGGACGGCTACAGCGTGGAGTACTGCTGGGAGGGCTGTGAGTGCCCCTGCCCAGCCCCAGGCCCTCACCCAGCACCGTGCGCTGAAATGCCCTCAACCCAGGACGGGCATCTGTCACCCTGCCCGGCCCCTGTTTACAGCGGAAGCCCCAGACGGCCAGCGGAGGGTGGGCAGTGGGGCGGGCTGCTGATGTTGACGCTGCCCGCGGGCTTCCCCCCACCAGGCTCGGAGTGGGTGGCCGCCCTGCAGGGGCTGATAGAGCGCACCTCGATGCTGCTCAAGGACCTGCCCACAGGGGCCCGGCTGCTCTTCCGTGTGCGGGCGCACAATATGGCAGGGCCCGGAGCCCCTGTCACCACCAAGGAGCCTGTGACCGTTCAGGAGATACTGCGTGAGTGGCCCTTGTGCTGTCAGAGGACGGACCTGCCACTGATGTCCTGGCCGTTGGGGTCCGTGGAAGTGGGGACATCCAGGGAGACCCTACTGGAGAGAGGGACAGGAAATTCTAAGCCTTTATTTGCACCCCAGGCCAAACATTCAGAGAGGGCTCCCTGGGCTTTTCTGCATCAACCCCGAGTTCTGGGACAGGGAAAATGTAGGTCTTCGAGCTCTGTTCTCTGAGCCTCTCAGTTCAACAGGTAGGTATTGTCCCTGTGCTCATGACTTAGTGTCAGATTGGCCCAGCTGGTATCCACTCCCCATTCTTCTGTTCCCAACAAAGGGTCAATCATGTGGAAAGAGGCAGCAGAATGGGGCAGAAACAGCCTGCAGGACAGGGATAGAGTCCAAAAGTCTACATTTGCATCCTGGCCTCTGACTTATTAGCTGTGTGTCCTCAAACAAGCTGTTCACCTTCTCTGATCCCTGCCTCTTACAGCGGTGTGGTGAGGTGGAGGTCGAAGCAGGGACTCTGTAGACCACCCGGGGCTGGGATAGGGGATGCTGAGGGCCGGGCATTTTCCTCAGCCATAGCCTTCGAGGCCCGGCCTCGGGAGGGGAGGAGCTGTAGTGCTCCCCAGGGCTGAGGGCCCCCTTGCTGAGCTGCCCACTTGGCACCCACAGAGCGACCGTGGCTCCAGGTGCCCCGGCACCTGCGTCAGACCATCCAGAGGAAGGTCGGGGAGTCCGTGAACCTCCTCATTCCTTTCCAGGTAGGGCTGGCCTCTGGGCCTGTCCCCCCGTGTCTCGTGCTCCCCTCGCGGGCAGATGAGTCTCGGGGCTGACCAGACCCTGAGATGCCACCCAGTCATGCCGGGCTCGGGGGTGAGCTGTCCCTCCCCACAGGGCAAGCCCCGGCCTCAAGTGACCTGGACCAAAGAGGGGCAACCACTGGCAGGTGAGGAGGTGAGCATCCGCAACAGCCCCACGGACACCATCCTGTTCATCCGGGCTGCTCGCCGCACCCACTCTGGCACCTAAGAGGTGATGCTGCAGGTCGAGAACATGGAGGACAAGGCCACGCTGGTCCTGCAGATTGTTGGTGCGTGGCAGCGGGGGCCCCGCTCTGGGACGGTGGCGGGCCACGTCTGGCCTGGCAGGGGGGAGGGCGCCTCGCAGGGTCCTCTGCTCATACTCAGGCGGTCTCAGGAGGTGTGTTCCGGCTGGTCTTTCTCCTGCAGACAAGCCAAGCCCTCCCCAGGATATTCGGGTCACTGAGGCATGGGGTTTCAATGTGGCTCTGGAGTGGAAGCCACCCCAAGATGATGGTAACACAGAGCTCTGGGGTTACACAGTACAGAAAGCTGACAAGAAGACCATGGTGAGCCTGGGGTTCTGGGCCCCCCATGTACACCCTCCGTAGGGCCAGGAGACCTGGGCCCCAGCTTCCTCCCTTGCCCTTAGAACGGGTCTGCTGCTCGTCCTTCCTCTCTGACCTGGTTCTCTCCACAGTGGGGGTACAGACACCAGGGGTACCCATAAGAGGCCCCCGGCAGGGAGTAGGGCCTGAGCCCCAGAGACCCGCCCTTTCCTCCACACCCCCAGGAGTGGTTCACTGTCTTGGAGCATTACCGTCGCACTCACTGCGTTGTGTCGGAGCTCATCATTGGCAATGGCTACTACTTCCGGGTCTTCAGCCAGAATATGGTGGGACCCAGTGACCACGCCGCCACCACCAAGGAGCCTGTCTTTATCCCCAGACCAGGTGCGGTACTTTTACTCCCACCCACAGGAGGAGCTGTGCCAGGGAGGCGGTGGGAGCAGGGAGGGGGCCCAGTGTGGTGTGCCACTCTTGGTGCAGAGTCTTATCACCAACAGGCATCACATATGAGCCACCCAACTACAAGGCCCTGGACTTCTCGGAGGCCCCGAGCTTCACTCGCCCTCTGGTGAACCGCTCAGTCATCGCCGGCTACAACACTACCCTCTGCTGCGCTGTCCGGGGTAGCCCCAAGGTACAGAGCTTGGGGTCCTGGCCCAGGCAGACTCAGGAGGTGGGGTTTGGAGGCTCCAACCCCCATTGGTCCTCTCCCCAGCCTTTCCCTGCTTCCTGTCCCACAGGGGTTCAGGGCCAGGCGCCTCTCCCTGAGCAGGGCCTCAGCACTCTCCATTGGCTCCCTGTTCATTTCCTGCTTGGGTGTAGTTTGGATTCCAGTGGGAGCCCCCAGAATAGCAGCAGGTTCCTGGCAGGTCTCCTGTCAACCTGAGACAGTCTCCCTCCCTCCCGTTACCTGATTTATAGCCCAAGATTTCCTGGTTCAAGAACGGCCTGGACCTGGGAGCAGATGCCCGCTTCCGCATGTTCAGCAAGCAGGGAGTGCTGACCCTGGAGATCAGAAAGCCCTGCCCCTTTGACGGGGGCATCTACGTCTGCAGGGCCACCAACTTGCAAGGCGAGGCACAGTGTGAGTGCCGCCTGGAAGTACGAGGTGAGGAGCCCACAGGGCCAGGCCCGGGGTGGCGGCAGCAGGGAACCAGCTGGGACTCTGCCGGCTTGGGCCATGCGGCGGCTCTGGCTGAGAGAGCAGTGACCTTGTCTTGTCCAACACACGTACTGGCTTCGGGGCTCTGCGACCAGACCTGCTCCCCCCAGCATGGTGCTGGGAGGCGAAACACACGTGACATGGCCTCCTTCTCCCCTGCAGTGCCTCAGTGATCCAGCTGGCTCCCGGAGAGGCCCAGGTATGTACCCCACGTCGTCCCGACACCACCGCACAAGTCAGAGGCTAAGCCCTGGCGCTTGGTTCAGAGGCAGCCATCAGGAAGTGGAGGTGCAGGTGCCTCTTTGCAAGACTTCGGTGCAGCTCATTCACAGGGGAACCTGTGTTACAGGTGCCACAGGATGCCAGCCCAGGTACTGGGAGCCTGGAAGGAAGCCGGACAAGCCACCTTCTGCTGCTGGATGTGTGTGTGCAAGTGTGTATCTTAGGGCTAGGCTAGCAGAAGCATCAGTAGGGCAATGCGATTAAGGTGAGCGGGCCTGGGGGCCTCGGCACACAGACTGCACTGAGCTCCCAGTGGAAGATCTCAGGTCTTTGGGACAAACAGGTGGTGGGCTCAGGAAATGGTGGTTGGGGACAGGACTTCCTGGCCTGCCACGGTTTCTCAATGTGTAAGGGCAATAAAAGGTCAGTGCAGTTACAGAGAACTGACTCTTCTGGTCCGATGCGTTTGTCTTCACAAAAAGCACAGGGAAATATACTTGAAGTTCAGAGCAAACTTCCAGGTATTCTATCTCGTGGAGGAGTTAAATGAAGCTGAGAGTGGAATCCCAAATTCATAAAACACTAGAAGAAACCTCAGCTTTCCCCCACTGTGTACGTCCTCCTGATGAGGAAACCGAGGCGCTGTGATGAAGGGGACACCAAGGCTCCCCTGCGCTCCGGACTGCCTTTGTCCTGGTGACCTGTGGTCACAGCAGCCTGTATGTGGGGCAGTGCTGAACTTCCACATGGTTCTGTGCCCATAAGGTCTGTGAAGGAGCTGTGCCAGGCTGCTTCGGGGCCCAGTAGGCAATGAGCCCACAGCCGTTCCACACGTGCTTCCCGGTGGGAGAGGGCGGTCCTGTCCAGTGCAAGACACTGGGAACCAGGGGCCTCCTCTGCTCTTCCTTCCCCCATGGGGAACCTAAGTCCAATCATCAGTCTACTTTTGGGAGGAAGAAGCCGGCAGGTCTCAGAGGGGCCCTAACAGAATATGGTCTTTCCTGTACAGGAAGCGCCAGAGGATTTTCCACAGCATAGAAAAAAAAAATCCAGGAAGCCTGGTCCTAGGGTTGCTTCTCTTAGACTTCTACCCAACCCAAGAGCCCCGACCCTGGGGCTCCAGCCCTGCGTCACACCACCTCTCTGGACCGCACCTGTGAGGGGAAAGGGGGGCCCTGGTTTTTCTTTCACTGCTAAATGAATTTCTCTCTGCTCAAGTGTCTAAGCCCAGTTTGGCTGCTTCCTCCAGGGACCAGTTCTTAGCAGGGCAGCCCTCTGGGGGTTGGCGGGTTGGGAGGTGGGGGGTGGGGGCATAGGGCAGGAAGTCCCTCCCACAGCCTCTTCCTGGAAGCAGGGTGAGAGGCTGGGGCTTCAGCATGCCGGGCCTCCAGGCCTCCGATGCGCATGATCTCCTCTCCCTCCTCCCAGGCCTGAGATGCCTCTGTAGAGTCCAGGGCCGGCCTTCCTCAGGGCCTGGGCAGAGAGGGGGCCTCTTTAAATACAAGGCGGTCAGGAGCCCAAGGAGAGTTAAGGACGTTTATTTCACATTCACACATCTGTACATTTTCTATAAATAATGTAGAGCTGAAATATGTACAATCATGGCTTGCCCACTCCCAGGCCAACCCTCCCTTCTGGCACCCAGCGCCAGGAGACGCCGCCTGCAGACATGGATGTGCACACTGAGCTCGGCTCTCCCCTCCCCGGTTCCTGGGCATGGCAGCCAGTGGTCCCTGGGCTCCCAGCCCAGCCACTCTGCTCTCTTATGCCGAAGGTAAAGCAGACCTTAGGGAAACTGCAGCTCAGCGAGGAGGAGCCCCTCAGTGCGGCTCCACCGCGGTGGGAGGCCACGGCAGGCAGCAGCTACCAGCCTGGGAAACGCGTCAGGAAGGAGGGAGGCTGCCACTCACTCTGCTGCCCCGTGACTCTCCCGGCCTCTCCCTGCCCACCTCTTCTCGGGGAGGACAGGCCTCAAGCTCCCCTCACTCTGCACCGAGTGGGACTTCACCCAGCACCTAGTCACGCCGGTCAGAGAGGATGGACAGCCAGAGTCTTGCACTGGAGGGTCATAACACCAAGGACAAGGAACCACGACACAAATGTCTCAGGGACACGCACGGGGGGGCTCACGCTGTACTCAGAGCTCTTATAAGCCACAGGCCAAAAGACAGACAGACATCACTCTTGAGCCCTGAGGGAGCAGGCTGGTCTCCCGGGAGTGGAGAGGGAGCAGGTGAAGGAAACCAGCTGAGCCCTGTGACAGACACTAAGACACGCCGGGACACATAACTCTGAACCAACTAAGCCACGGCTAGGGGCTTGCAGAGGACACGTGCGCGGCTCGGGGCGCCTGCGAGCAGAAGACGCAAGCACATCCCCCGGACCAGGGGGTGGGGGGCTCTCGACCCCTCCCGTCAGCTCGAGACAGGCCGGGGTGGGGTCCTGAGATCTTCCTCACTGCTACGGACCGCGGCCACATACGAGAAGAGACACAACACAGAGTAGCAGATCTCATGGGCCTAGAGGGGAGAGAAAAGCAGGCGGATCAAGTTCCCGAGATTCCAACATCACCACACGTGGAGGTCTGCCGAGCAGGAAACTCTGCCCTCGCGCCGGGCTCAGGGCGCACAGCTGGCTGGTGGGAGAGGGGACCTGTACGTGTGTGTCTCTCCCAGGGCCGAAGACTCGTTTCGGCTTCAGCGCAGCCTGTGGCGTCTCGACCAAACTCGGCTCTCAAACCGTTCCCTTCCCCCATGCTCTCAGAGGGCCTGCCCTACTCCTGTCTGAAGGTCCCCGGGGAGCCCTGCGCAGCCCGGCCTGCCGGGGTTGGCTGGCACACTCACCATCGGTGTCTTGTACTTGTGGCTCACCACTTCTTTAATTTCAGGAACTAAAACCGGACGGGCAAGAGACAAAACAGAAAGTTCAAAACTAAGAGCGGTAGTGCCAGGCTCCCGCAGGCGGCAGCGCCCGGCACCGGGGTCCCCTTCCCCACTGTGTGGCATGTGCCGGTGGCTGCGGCAGCTTAGGCCCCGACAGCCTCTGCCCAGCTGCCGCTGGATGAGAGGCCGCTGCCCCAGACTCCTCAGCCAGACCACTGAGGCCTGCTGTGGCTACCCTGTGCTGGGCTGTGACTCCACCCACTTGGAGAGCCTCAGCATGGGTGCAGGCTGGCCTTTCACCGGCCCGCTCTCTGCTACTGTCCAGGGCCCTGCGGAGCTGCGGGGGGGGGTGTTCCCACACAGTGGCTGGGTGAGGAGAGTCGTCTCTCGCCTGCGCCTCACCGTGCTGAGATGCCCGAGAACTCATCCCTGGTACCAGCCCGAGACTGTTCGCGTTAAGCAGGGTTCCCTGTACTCCCAGCCTCTACACAGAGGGTCCTTGGGCTGGATGAAGAAGCGGCATGATACTAAACCCACCAGACCTGCAAGTTTCCTTCCCTGAGTGGCAGGAGAGGCCCAGGCCTGCCTGTGTGAGGGAGAGCGTCAGAGGGCTCTGGAGCAGACACACCGAGCAGAAGACAGGCGAGTACAGCACCCGGGGAGGGGGGGACAGGGAGCATCAGGCA